AAATAGCAGGACAAGGGAACCTCTGCTGTGGGGGTCTGGACTGTCCTGTGGACAGGTCTTCTCTGGTGAATTGTTTAAAAGATGGTAATAAAAGACCCAGAAAGATATAAAAATATTGCACACTTTAAGAGAAGATAATATACCAAAACGTGAACAGTGAACCCGGGTGAGCAACAGGGCCTCTCATCAAACACAAGGATTGACAAAATAGAACAAGACACCTTGGACACCTTGGCACAAAGGAGATAGGTTTATCTGATGTGAAGACTCTTTCTGAGTCCTGGTTTATAAGGTTAAATTGTCCTCAGTTTGCCATTTCATTTGATTTTCATTCCCTTTAAACCTGAAGGAAACCCCTAGAGTTCAGTATTTGAGCTCTAAACACAATTGTTACAGTGAAACTGAGTCACATACGGAGGAAAACTGAAGAAGCCACTTCAGTTGGTGTTCAGTCAGGGAAGACACTAATACAACTTTATCAATGGTTTAGGTGGAAATCACACTTCAGCTGATGACATCTAAGTTAGTTATTCAATTTAGTGTATTATTGATATCATTGATCCAACATTCCTGAGAAAACCATAAGCTCTCTGTGAGACACTAAAGCTGCTCTCATGGCTTACTGCACCTATAGCCATCACACGCTCTCAGCACAACTGTAAACCCCTAAGCCTAGTGGCTTAAACTGAGGGGATCATAAACTGCAAAGCACTTCAGAGGTTTTGACAAAACAGATTATAATTTCTAAACTCCATAAGCAGAAACAGGCAAGACTATCTCCATTCTCAGGGTCAAATAGCTTCCAGTGCCAAGGTTTACACAGCCCGTTACTAACCAGGTGGGCAGATGCAAACTACTTCCTCATGACCCATCACATAACCTTAGCTCGATCATCACTGTAATATTTATAAAGTTCATAAGCATTATGTCAGTGAATTATGGCTTCATGCTACTTTCTCTTAGATTGCATGTCTCCTGGAAGAATAGGTTTCTGATTTTCAGGCTCCAGAACTAGCCCCCGCATTCCAGCAAAGCAAAGCAACCTGTTGGGGATTTATGGGCATATTTCACAGGTGTTTAATGAGGCTTATACTGTAACTGATCTAAACAACTCTTGATCATGGAATCCTGAAGCACATTCAGTAAAGCCGATGGAGCCTGAGACACCTCAAGAGAACTAGTGAGTGAATCAAACAATTAGTCTGCTCTGTCCCTCTGTGACAGCTTTGCTGCTGAATACAAGGCACACACATACACAGAATAAACAGTCCCTGTGTTATTTCTGGTTCTGCAGTGTCACTGTGGATATATGGATTTAGGATGGGTAGTCAAGACTCACTGATACACCCCTGTAAGCTTTTAAACATATAGATCAACTTTATTTTCTTTCAAATTTTTATCTAAAAATCTGATTTTCAAGGAGAAGAAAAAGCAGAGTGTAATGAAGACATGAAAGCAACATTTTAAGGTGGTATTTAAGAGTATTAGCTAATGACATTCTGAAAAGTAAAAGTCTCACTCTTGGAAGGTATTTAAGTGCCTAAATATCCTTGAGTACTGAGATCCCCTCAAAAAGTGTTTATATTTGCAAAGGTAGCTATTAGGGTACTGTAATTTAATATATGGCATTTGAAAGGCAGGTAAGTTAGAGTTATACATATATGCAGCCTTACATCTGATGTATTTGATAGCTGGCATCTAACAGACACAACATTCTCAAACATTTTGAACGAGGTTTTCCTAAAATTAATAGTTAGATTGAAACACTTATCTGGTTTCTTGAGGAAGGTTTCTGCTATAAAACCAGACACCCACAAGCTCCTGCAAAAGGAAATGAGGCAGGAAGGAAAGAAACTTGTGTGATGCTCTCATTTACAACAGAGAGGAGCAGTGCCTTTCTCACTTTCAAGGATCCATGCTGTTAGAAGTGTTATAAGTTTTTATGAGGTTAAGATTAATTTCATTTTCACAAATATTTGTGTGTACAGCATGTGCCTCTGCAGACTTTTACGATGTAAACCAGAATATTTTGAAGCCTAATTTTCCCTTCACAGCAGGAGTGGTTCCGCTGATTAGCAGATCTTTTTCAAGCTCAAATCACAGTCGATTGATCTACAAAGTCTCCTTTGCATCAAACAACTCTTTTGAGCTGTAAATGCTTAAAGACTGCTGCTGCTTGTTGTACCCTTCTTACACTAACTTTTACTGTTGGTGAAGTTGGGATCATGCAAACAAGGGGCAACTATCCTGGAAAGAGGCAGGAGGCAGCAGATTCAGTGGAGGAAGCTCCATTTTGTACTTTTGCTTCTTCCTAAACATTACCAGCCAGCCACAGCCAGTCAGACTTCTGGCATAGGAAAGCCTTTGACAGGACCCACTATAGTTGTTCCTCAGAGCAAGGTACAAACCTAGTTTTAAACCATCACTCCTGAAGGCATTTAACTTCCTAACATTCTTATTTACCCAGGTTTTAATTCTTCAGATTAATACAGAAAAGAAAACAGTTTTGATACCTTTTTCTCCTCTGCTCTGCTCTCCTCTCCTCTCCTCATTTCTCCATTTTACATGTTTTGGCAATTTGTTTCACTACAGAAAATAACTACTGTAACATTTAGTGCTGTCTGGCCATCACACTGGCACCAAGAGCTTTGACTTTCCTGCCCCATGCTGTACCGTGTAGAGTACAGGTTAGGAAGCAAAATCATATAGAAACTTCTCTTGTAACATGCCTTTTGTCAGCAAATACTGAACACAGTGCTAACAAGTACTTGTAGCTTTGCTCCCATAGCTTGACATGGTAATAAGTACTTCACATTGGAGTGACTTCCATCCTTTTTGAGTGTAGGTAGTCAGTGACAATTCAGCACTCTCACTTAAATGATGAAATTAAGCTGTCAGAAGTATTATCACTGTGCCAAAAGCTATATGGAAGCTCACTGACAGCAATTCTCACTTGCTCGTCTCACTTGCCCTGTGCCAATGGGGTTCTGCCTTAATTTTTGTACTTCAAGTTAAATAGCTCTCAAGCTTAACTCAGTTGTAGAAACTACTGTGGATAAATTAGTTTCTACTGATGTGCTAGTTATCCTGATATTAATGGGAAATCCAGGGCCAGAAGTCAGAGGGGTAAGTAGTCTGAATGGCAGCAAAATGCAATGCAGTAAAATCACAAAGTAGCCTCAGCTTTTGGATCTTGTGACTCACACTTGAGAAGAAAATGAATAGGCTGATGTAACAGTCTGGGCAGGAGAGGAGCAGTGTTCCTGTGCTATAATGAACCAAGGGACTGCAAACACAGAGGTGCTTGTTCTTGATAGAATAGAAATTTGGTGGAACACTTTGGGTAGCTTAAAATCACCATCTAAATTATGAGTATCCTAAAATTCTCTCATAATACAGATCTTTTCTGTTCCAGCGGAATCTAACACTACAAATATTAAGAAACAATAAAGTGCTTAGGGATGCAGAAGAAACCTTCCCCCTCTCCAAAGCTCTTCCTGCTCAACACAACTCAGAGCTATACCAAAAAAAAAAGGGAATACCCAGTTTTCACCTTAGGTGAAAAGTACTGAGTTGTCGAAACAGAAATAAATCTCTGGTACATCCTGAGGTCTGAGGGGTCACACAGACCTTGCTCAGACCCTGTGCCCGTCAGGAAATTACTTTTCCCAGTGGGGAAGGCTCTGAGAGTTGAGCTAAGTTTGGGCACTTCATGGTCCTGCTCTTGGTGGAGAAGTCAGAGAATCTCCCTATTATACACACTGTGTACACAGGTCTGACCAGTTACTTTTTATGTCTTACGCCCAGTACTATTTAAGTGTTTATTTACACTATGCTGTTCTGCCAGAACAAACATTTTCATCTACATTCCAAACAAAAAGATCAGCACACCAGCATTGCTTCAAACTACTGTTTCTTTGAAAAGGCTTGCTTAGGGGAAAGGATTGTGTAAATGCTTGCTGTGCCTGTTCCCCGCTTTGACTAGTGTTCAGAAGAGGTGCTGGCTCTGCCTGCCACCACCTGCTGTAACTCTGCCTTGCAACTACCAGTAGCTTCATTCTTTTGGCTTCCCAAAATGAGCAAATTTGGATTTTTAAGTGATCATAACTATCTCAAAATGATTAATTTTCACATTAGGATAGAAATTTAGGCGCTACACTGCATTGCACAAACCCACACTGTCCAAGAGAAAGCAAAATAACTGCTCTGGGCAAAAAGAATGCTCTACACCTTATCTGCAAAAAGTGTCAGGTTTTTGAAGGGAAAAAAAATCGAGTAGTGCTAGGGCAGGGAAACAAGAAGACAACTGGATCTCTCTAACTATGGAGGAACAAACAGTGAGGACTTCAGCTGACACCAAACTTACTCTGTTTTCTTTTCAGTCCAGGGCTTTACTAGCAATTTCTTTTTCATCTGATTGAGGCTATAGCAGCCAGTGTCCACAAAAGAGTATGACCAGCTTTAAACATCAGACATTTGGCCTTAGCTTCCTACAGCCCATGCACTTACTGGCCATGAGCTAGGAAGCAGCATGATCTCAACAACCTCAGAATCACTCCTTGCACTCGAAAACATGCTCCCAAGCATTTTCAGGCACATAGTGAGAAGCACCATCTGGGAAGGCCATTCTGCCCGGTAGGAGCCACATTTTACTTCAGCAATATCCTTATTTACTGAAGCAGCAAAAAGATATTGACACTGCAATACAAATTAATGTATACCCAATGGAAGTCCTATAAATGACACCAAGAAAATGAAGAAAGCATGCAGCTGAGAAACTTCAAACCTCTGTATTCCTGTTCCCACACTGTATAGACAACATATTTTGGTTTATGGTTTTTTTTAGAACATTCACTATGGTAAGGCAGAATTTTGGAGGATGGTAGAGAAGTATTTTTGCACTTATATACCATAAGGCAGCAGCAGTGAATAAAATGGCAAGAAAAATAAATTACTGAGTAGCACAGAAACAGAGACTGCAGCCACTGTCCCAGCCTTACCTTTCAGAGTTGCCTTCTTAAGTACCTTCATAGCATAAAGCTGACCTGTATCAGATCCTTTGATCTTCCTCACTAGAAATACCTGTAAAAAGCAGATGTAAATGAGTACTGAATTTCCATTTATAATCCTTACTGCATTTGACAGGGGAAGAGATACTATGGTTCAGGAAATCGAATGAAAATTACTGGCTGAAAGTATTTAATACCTATTTCATCTGCAATTGGTTGAGCTAGCTCTGGAAATACTCAGTTTTAAGCCTTTACCACCTCACAAAGAAAAAATTTTATGTTAAACATTATTAATTGCCCTTATACATTCAATTAAAGATGGGTGAAAAGTCAGAATCAATAAGAACATGTCTTCATATTCAGACCAGCTTTATACAAAAACAAATTATGTCTCATTTGTGTTTAGGAATGTGCAGTGTCTTAAAATTATTGCCATCAATTAAATTAAAGAGAAAAACCAATTTGGTGCAATTTATGTTGTAATTCATGAATGGTGATTTGCCTAAGATGTAGCTGAAGCAGAAAAGTTCATACAGCTGAAAATCCATTATTACAATAAAAACAGTTTTCCCTGTTACAAATCTCCTATGTCTCATATTCTGACAGTGTAAAATATAATTGTAGATAAAATTTTATCCTTTATGTTTTACTCCACAAAAATACTTTTTATCTGCCCCTGAGTGAATCTGAGCACTAGAGGGGTAGCGAACAAAGGAATCAGTAATTCAGTTCAGTCTTCATAGGACTTTCAGTGTTTTAATAATTGAAAATAAAACAAACAAATCTTTTAGTTGATTCCCAGGACACGCTCTGCCTGATAAGGTCAGAAGTACCAGACAACGGTGTCTCTTTTATTATTTCAGCACTTATGTTAGTGGACAGAAGCTGAAGTAAAGACAAATGCAGAAATAGGTATACATAGCATATACTTATAAATATATACATTAACAAAGGCTAGGTAAAATTATGTAACTAACAAGTGTCTAGTTGGATTACAAATTCTATGGCAATTATTTTTTTTCATTGCCTGTCCAGGAACCACACAGCTTTGTTAACTATCTCCACCTAAAATATATTAAAAAACTCAAAAACCAGCAACAAGAACAACAAAAACTCCCAAAACCAAAAAAAGAGAGAGAGGAACAAATCTGTTTCTAGCACATTATTTGCAAGTTGAAAGACTTTTCCTCCTAAAAAAATAGCTGTAAACAGATTAGGATTTTCTCAAACACTCTTTGAGGAAAGGTTTGTTCTCTCTGAACCCCTTAATCAAGACTCTTACATCTGACAGCATCACAGCTGTCACTTCTACAGTATGATCTGATACGTTTTTGGTGAGACTTTCCTATTCAAGATGTTTCCTGTGCATAAGAGATATGCACAGTTCCTCAGTCAAACTGCCCTGACTAGCTGAGCTTGGGCACATGTTGCTTGTTCTTCACCTCCTGTTTCCTAGTTCAATGAACATACAGATATCTCCAGCACTCACAACTGTAGGAACAAATGATGAAATCTGGATGCAACAGAAAGACACAAGACTTTCTGAAGTGTTTTTCATTAACATTCATGATAAATTAAGCTCAGCTGCTCTGGCTTTAACAGGAAGTCAATTTTTAGTTTGGCTAGACGGAGAAAAGTAGGGATATTTTTCTATCCAGCTCAAGTAAAAGATTTTATGTTTGCATTACATTGAAAAGGAGAAAGTCAAAAAGCAAGCTTGCCCAAACACTAGATTTTCAGCTGTATTATTATCCTATAAAAATGGTTATGGAATCTTTACCTCAAATAAAACAAGAACCCAAACCCTTAAGATAATGGTCTTAAGCTATACTGCATATAGAACAGCATAGCATCTGCATCTGCAGAAATATTAGGCTGCAGTTTTGAAAACATCTTGTCTGCCATGTAATCTTGCAAAGCTTGTAATACCTGTATGGCTGTAATAAGCAAAATTATCAATTTACATTCCTAGTCACTAGTCAGCTGTTCCCTGTAGCATGGGATAGGGTGCTTGTCTGCATTCCCTCCAAAACAGATGAGTCAAGAACACTGTGTGCTTTTTCAGAGGACGTGAAAGAAATCATCAAACCGAAAAGGAAACAGAACAGATGAAAATGCATTGTATTGCAAAATTATTTCATCCTGATTATTCTTAAAGGTAAAGCTACATTGTTCTTGAAACAACCAAGAGGCACTGGAGTGCTTACTTGACTGGTTATATTAACTATACTGTCCTAGTTTGCCAGAATAGCATGGACATGTGGCTGAGCATGACTTTCAGTTTTCTAGTTTGATATGTCTGCAAACACCTCAGATTATTAACACCTGAACTAGCAAAACTCCCTTAGCTAGAACAACTGGTGTATCACCCAAATACTAATCCAGAAAGATAAGCAAGTGCTTTGATTTCAAGGGTGTTGAGAGCACTCTCTCTGACACCAAAGACATCTTCTCTAATACTGCAAGAAATTATTTAGGCCTTGGGTGAACAACCTGAAAACCTAATGGTTTGCATTCCCAGAGACTTATGGAAATATTAGATCAAATACCAACCAAGGTGTTGAAAGTTTAGGTGGTTGGGGACTGCATATGAAACACAGAGCAGACTTCCCTCCTCTATGTCTTTGCTGCTCTGAGGAGCTTTGTGATGTTTCTCACATAAGATTTGTGATCACATGTAGCTCCAAACAGTCACACTCTGATCCCCCAGAAATCAGACCTCCTTTCAGGAAGTGGTGGCAGAGACTAGGCACTTTGCTTATAAAATGCCTAAAGCTGGAAGGCCAAGTCAAACACTTAATACTGAAGTACATCAGTACAATGTAAGACAGCCAGTGGACAGTTTCCAAACTCTGTACTGCTGGAATCTGAAAACTGGCCATTCTGCCTCTGCTATTTTGCAAAAGTCATTTTATTCCCTTGTTGTCCTTCTTGTATTGAGTCATACAGTAAACCTAATTTTAAGTTGTTTGATTTTTCACATTTATTTGATATTTTAAACTCAAATATCATCACTGTGCTCTCAAGATATTCTTTAGATCAAAACTTGGTATTGAACATTAACTTTCCTGGTATCTCTCATCTCATGGAACTTATAATAGACATATCAATATAATTCTAGAATAGTCAGGAAGTTGATAAATACTCTCAGTATAGCTTCTTCTAGAAATAAAACTAAAGGCCTTGGTTGGGAAATATTTTTGTTAAGCCCAAAAAAATAATATAATTAAAACTATAAGGACTTCCATGACAGCTTTAAATTAGGTTCACTGTTCCACAGGTTTGATTCTCTTATTTAAACCATGAAAGATTCTTAGACTGAACTGACTCTTCGCTCCTTCTTTCCATCTTTCC